GCTATGTCTTCCTGGAACAAATCCACTTATTAGCATGCTGTTCAGATTCCCCACCCTGAGTTTTGGAACCAAACACAGACTGGCGGATGAGCTCCGCAGCACACAAGCTTCATCTCTCCCACCCCATCTCCACATCTGTCTTCCCAGCCCCTATACACCCACAATGGTGGCTCTGCTGCTGAATGAGTGGCTTAGAAGGCTTTGCATTTATCGGTTTGCTGGGAATCTGGGGTGAGGTCTTTGAGCTCCTATAAGGCCAGGTCTAAGTTTTGAATCCAGAGATGCAAGTGAACAGGAATTGAAATTGGATTAAGTCACCTCCTGGTTATATCACTCTTGTGTAGCCTACAAATGTTATCAGCAATGTCAATCATAGAGGATTTGGAACACTTCCTTTAGCCTTCATATCAGCAGACAAGACCAAATGCATTAAAGAATCCCTCTAAACCATAAAACATCCCCTCCTATTTTGGAAGGAGCATCAAAGTACAGCATGTCTACTCGCCATGTCTACAGGGGATGTATTCTAAGACCCCTAAATGAATGCTGGAACCACAGAGGCTACCATGGCCTATGTATGTTTTTCCTACACATACACATCTATGTTCAATTTTTATGTATAGATTATGCACAGTAAGAGATTAATACTACCAATGAAAACAATCTGCTGAAATAAAATAGCCAGCGTTACTACTGTTGGCCATTGTCAAGTAAAATCAGGACAACCTGTAAGTAAATTGCATTGGTTAAGAAAATTATTACTATAGCCTGTCCTTCATCTTCATCCTCTATGTGCACTTGTAGATGCTCTCACAGCCAAATTTTGCTGTGTAATAAATTATTTTAATTAGTTAAAACTCCAGTCATTTTATTATTAATGGATTCTATAAATTGGCTGGTCGGCTGTGGTTGGCTCTAATTCAGAGTTCTCTACAGACTACAGGTGATAAAGATAAGGCCAGGTGGCCTCCCAAGGACTCACCTGTCTGGTAGTTGGCAGATGGGTAGATCTACAAGGACCTCCACTGGGACCTGCCCTTGTCTGTTCCTTGGCTCTCTCTTCCTCCTGGCCAAACTGGGGTTCTTCACCTGGTAGCCTGTGGTTCAGTCTGCATTACATTCACCACTTTCCCTTTAGTCAAAGCAAATACGGTGGACAACTTTCCTCAAAAAGAGGAGATCTTGCTATTCACTTTTGGGTTTTTTGTTTTTTAAATTTTGTGTGTAGGGGCTGGGAAGGTGGCTCAGTGCTTGCCTTGCATGCATGAGGCCCTGGGTTCGATTCCTCAGCACCACATAAGCAGAAAAAGCCGGAAGTGGCAATGTGGCTCAAGTGGTAGAGCACTAGGCTTGAGCTGAAGAGCTGAGGGACGGTGCCCAGGCCCAGACTTCAGGCCCCACCACTGACAAGAAAATAAATAAATAAAAATTTGTGTGCATGTTGAGGCTTAAACTCAAGGCCTAGGTGCTGTCTCTGAGCTTTTGTGCTCAAGGCTAGCACTCTACCACAGCTCCATTTCTGGCTTTTCTGGTAGTTAGTTGGTGGTAAGAGTCTCACAGACTTTCCTGTCTAGGCTGACTTTGAATCTCCATCCTCAGGTTTAAGTCTCCTGAGTAGCTAGGATTACAGGATTTACAGGCATGAGCCACCAGTAACTTGTTTTTGTTTTTTGTTTTTTTTGGGGGGGAGGAAGGAAGGGAACGGGTAATTGAGGGAGAAACTTGGTTTTTTTTGTTTTGTTTTTGGTCCTGGGGCTGGAACTCAGATCCTGGGTGCTGTCCCTGAGCCTCTTTGTACTCCAGGCTAGCACTGTACCACTTGAGCCAGAGCACCACTTCTGGCTTTTTCTAAGTAGGTTATTGAATATCAGAGTCTCACAGACTTTTCTGCCTGGGCTGTCTTCAAACCATGATCCTCAGCTCTCAGCCTCCTGAGTAGCTACGGTTGCAAGTATGAGCCACTGGCACCCATCTAGCATACACTCTCAATGGAGGAGCTGCAACATCAAATTGTAAAGGTGCATGGGGTAAGGATGGGAGGAATTTCTACCCATGTTGCCATCTTCCACATATTTGAGCAACCACAGGTAGTTAAACTGGAATAAATGTGTCCATCAGGCTAAATCAAAAAGACTGAGCTGTGTTACCGCTCTGACTCTACAAGAAAATATACAAGATCATTAACTTAACAAAAGAAAAGATTTCCTTTGGCTCTCATTTTCAGAGGTTTAAATCTTTAACTAGTTGGCCCAATCACTTTGCTGCAGAGGCAGGGTAGCTCATAAGGAGACTGTAATATACAAAACCACTTCACTCATTGGCCAACAAGCCAAAGGGAAAGGACCAGAGTGTCCCAGTGCCCCTTGCCTGGCATACCTCCAGTGACCTAAGAACCCCCCACTGAGCGCCACTTCCTAAACATCCACCAACTTTCCAGTAGAGCCACTCCATTGAAGTTCCCCAATTGAAGCCATAGTGTCTCTGCTTATTTCCATTTTAGGTTTAACTTAGGAGCTTTCTCTGGGCTCCTACTCTGTTGTAGACTGTTAGAAATTTAGTCACATTTGCTGGGATGTTCTTGGCATTTTTGAGTTTTGATTCTAAATTTTGCCACATTTAAAAGTTTCAATGAAGTACTTGCTGTTGCACAGATAGGTTATTTTCTTTGAATGCAATTTGGATTTGGTGTATTCTGTGAGCTTTCAAGAATGTTTTGCAGGGCTGGGAAGGTGGTTCAATGGTAGGAATGCTTGCCTTGTATGCATGAGGCCCTGGGTTTGATTCCTCAGCACCACATAAGTTGAAAAAGCCAGAAGTGGCGCTGTGGCTCAAGTGGTAGAGTGCTAGCCTTGATCTGAAGAGCTGAGGGACAGTGCCTAGGCCCAGAGAATGTCTTGCAGACCAGCTGCGGCTGAACCTCCCCTGGGGCATGGCACCCTTGAGCTAACTCCCAGAATTCTAACTTTGTAGTCTGATACACCGGGTCCCTATTCACTGATCCTCCCTCACCTCCCATATCTGTAATGATTACAATGTGGTGTTTACCAAGCTCTACATTATTATTCTGTAAACATAATACTGTTTATTGCCATCTGTGTTCTGAATGTACGCATAACTCTAAACATTCATATATAATCACAACATCCTCCTATGTTTCTCAACCTTTGCCTCTTTACCACTGACATCTCGGGCCAGTTAATTCTTTGTCATGGAGGTAATTTGAGCATCATAAGATGTTTAGCATCTTTCCTCCTTAACCCTCTTGATCCCAGTAGCCTTTCCTCTTCCTTTGGCCCTCCACCCATAGTTATAAAGACCATAAGGTATAGTGGATATGGTCAAATGTCCTTTGGGAAGAGCCAGGTTGCCTGAGGTGAACACCAATGCTTTCACTAGAGATGCTGAAACAACAGAGAAGGAAGTGTGTGAATTGTGGTTTATTGTGTGTGAGACTGGGGGGGAGGGGGAGAGAGGAAAAGAGAGAGAGAGAGAGAGGGAGAGAGAGAGAATGAGCTCACAAAGTAGGAACAGCAACCAAAGAGGGCAAATCTGTAAGAACAAAGGAGTCTGGAACATTTACAGTTCCTTTAAAATTCAACTAGGCCTGTCTCTGGTTTCCTTCAAATTAACCTGAAGCGTCAAAGTGAGTCTTGTTGCACACTGAAAGGTCCATCAATATCTTGACTTCATTTTGGTAGAAGTGGATTAATAGTAAATACTATGTCTAAAGTGGGGAGAAAATGAGGAACTATGTAGATCATAATGGATTTTGAAAAGCCTTTTACTTTGGAGGAAAAAAAATAGGGATATAGAGAATAGAAAAAATCCTGTCTGCATCTCCCAAAGTCTTAGATTCAAGGCCATACCTCACTCCCGGCTCCTGGCTATCCACTCAGGTTATTTTATTTTGGCTATTTTTAGTTGTTGTTTTTTTTATATATATAAACAAACTGAGTAAGTTTTTTTGAAAGTGAAAAGAAAGCCATGAAAGTAAATTAGAAGACTCTCTGTTTGGAAAGGGGCTCCAAAGAGGAGTCCAGTGGACTTGTCTTGGAGGACAGTCATTATAGTACAGGATTTCTCCCATAGCTCCTCCCTGCACTTTGTGCTGATCACTTGGCGCCTCTTGCATGCATCACACTGGCTTTTTTCATTGGTTGAGCAGGTACCGAGGGCAATATGGGAAGAAGCATTTGAGCCATTCAGGTTATTCCAGGCATCATTTTCTCATATTTGTAAGAATTTCACTGTATAGGTAAGAGGAAGTACCTAAAATTATGATGATAATATGCTGGTGAATTCTGAATCTTCTGGAGAGGGGAAATATAGGAAATCATACCAGAAAGTCAAAGGAAAGAATGAATGGGATCAAGGTTAACAAGGCTTGGCTTTCAGGAACATTGAAAACTCCAGAAGAAGAGGAAGGCAGAGACGTTATGTCTTCAGGCTAGTCTTTTCTGGTGTCTTGAGTTGGAAAATTCTTACTTATAAATGCCCTTTACAGTATGTGATTTTTCACAGTGGCCTGGAGTATTTATGAAGGAGAATAGGCTGGCAGGGACCTGATGCATTTTCTTAAAAGAAAAGGAAAAAAACACAACCACTAGAAGGTATTGAAATATCCAGTCAATGATGGATTGCACTCAGCTGACTTTCAATGACTTTTTCACCGATTAGGGCCTGCTTTTAATAAACCAAAGCAGAATAAAAAAATTCATAGTTGCTTTTTAAGATTTTTTGCTAGGCATATGGCAGTTCTCTTGTTAAAATATATTCTGAGAAGTTTCTTTCTTTTGATTTAGACCTCCTCGCTATATTTTATTTTGTCATAAATCTCTGGTGTTTGGTGAGAGCCATGGTCTATGCAGCTTGCTAGATAACATCTACCCTCCCCACACACACCGCCCCCCCCCCCCTCCACTATCTTTAGAAGATTAAACTGAGGCTGTTGTATCTGATGCCAGAATAGATTTAACCACTCATGTTTCCTTTACATGTAGGTCAGTCCGAGGGACAATTCTGCACTGGATCCTATTATCCATGGGTTGAAGGGCGTCGTACATCATGGTAAGTAGGCTCCATATAACTTCCTTTTGCTGGCGTGTGATGGGCTCAGTTTTCCACCTGAAGGAATTGGGTTATCTTGAAGGGGACAGAGGGTGACACCCATTTCTCATCCACTGATGTTGAAGAGCGTTAGAGCTATTATTTGATGGGTAAAGAGCATGCCCATTTATTACCTGTGAGTGGGTCTGGGTTAACAGTAAGCCATTTGTTTCTCTTCAGGTATGACTTGGAATGCATAGGTTATCAATCATAATACCCTAAGATACACCATTCTTCGTTGTGGAGTCAGCCATTTTTCTCATCTCCTCAAAAGTGTTTTCATCATTTAAATGTCTTTTTCACTTACCAATTTTTTGGAGGAGGGAAGTGTCTTAAAATTTAGGAGAAAAGAGGTAGCCAGTAAGCTTTACCCACATGTGAGGCATGATTACACAGCCAGAGATGGAAAAGGCTAAGCTCACATCATATTCTCAAGCATAAAACTGGGAGAGAAAGTTCTGTTTCTCCCACTGGTTTTCATTGGAGGAATTTCCCTGCAGCTTTCTTCCTGCGAATGCATCAGTACCTGGGACATCATGATCCTCTTAATTTCCAAAGGACCCTTGTTGCAGTGAGGTGTGGCATCTACACTGAGTGTCACAATTTGCCACGTTTTAATAATCTAATTAGAATTCAAAAGACATTGACAGAAACAACATTAGTAGCCATAATAAATCTCCCTTCATTCCCACCGCTGTTGATCAAATTTCTTCCCACCTTTGGAGAGGATTGTCTTCAGACATGAGCCCCCTCGGTGGAGCTTAACGAACATCTCTTCCAGAGAAATGGAACCAGTTATCAGGCTTCGATTAAGTGGGGTTTAGGATTAATTGTTCTGTGCTGAACACTGAGCAGTCCTGCCGTGGGTGACATTCAGAATAAGCCGAGTGAGGCTGAAAACACCCCCATTGAGCTTTTCCTTTCAGGAAGTTTCCCTTGCTTCATTCAAAGTGTTGGTTTCACAAAAGATATTCATGTCATTCATGAGGGCTCTGGCTCCACGACCTAATTACCTCTTTCCCTAAGTCACCCCCAATACCATCGCTGTTGGGGGGCAGCATTTTGACAGATGAGTTTAGGGAAAGACTCAGGTATTGAGCAGTAGCTGTTACCTGTGGGGACAGGTAATAGCTGCTTAGGTAAACTGTGAAATGCTTGGCGAGACTCAGATAGGGCTGTAGTCATGCTTGGCCAGGGGTCTTCCACCTTGCTCTCTAACCTGCTGAAAATACGTTATCTACAAAGGAAGTTTATTTATTAAGCAAAACAAAGTTGAGGCACACACTGTGTGTGTGCAAATGGGTGTGGGAGCTTTGATGAGGATAGATTGGAAAGGGAAGGAAGGGAAGTACTGGCCTCCTCTTCCTGTGGCCTGCCTAGACTGTCCCCTCCCAGCCTTGGCCATTTCCTCTCCTGGCAGACTTCTCCCTTTGCTTGAACCTTTTATCCTTGCAGTCTCAGTTCAGATACTGATTCCTTAGGAAGTTTGTTCTCAATTATCCTGTGGAATTACTTACTTACCCCTTCCTCACTCCTAACATTCTGTCATAGCATCTGGAGTTCTTCCTTCAAAGTTCTTAGACATGTCTGTAATAACCTTGCTTGTTGCTTTACTCTTGCATTGCCTACCCAAGTAGGAGCCTCCTATGGTCTGGAAGCCAAGTCTGTGTGCACAGTGTACCTAGCAAGTACTTGTGTACCTAGCTCAGTACGTCTCAGCCAAATGACCAAGTAAAGGAAACACAAAGCCAAGCACCAGTGACTCAGGCCGGTCATCAATCCTAGATACTCAGCAAACTAAGATGTAAGGATCATAGTTTGGAGACAGCCCCGGAAGAACAGTCTGTGAGACCCTTATCTCCAGTTAAACCAGCAAAAAGCTGGAACTGGGCGTGTGACTCAAGTGTTAGGACACCAGCCTTGAACAGAAAAAGCCAAAAGAAAGCCCAAAGCCCTGAGTTCAAGCTCCAGTACCAGCACCAAAAGAGCAAATGCAGGAACTTTCTATGCATGAAAATGTAGCAATATAAAATTGGACCAAGGGTTGTAGGCAAATAGTCACCCAGATTTAGCTTTGAGAAGCAAAAAGAGTAAGAGTTTGTCATTCTATAGAAAGGGAAAGGATAATTAAAATATGCAAAGAACTTTGTTGGACCCAGAAGCATTTCCACCAAAAGTCCGGGGAAAGATCTGTGTGATTTGTTAATTGGAAAGAGTGTAAGTAGTTGTGACCTTCACAGAGTTTCTAGCTCGAACATCACAATAGAACCATATGAATAGAAAAAAAAAATCAATGTGGATTTCTGACACAGTTCAGAAATGGCTTTGATTTCTTCAGCTCCAGGAGTTAGAGCTTAGAATGTTAATTTCTCATTAACTGATTCTTTTTAAATAAGAGAAATCTTCTATGTTATTTCAGCTGAGACATCAATGATAAATCTGGTCCTATAGCAGCCAACTAGCGGGCAATTGGTCCGTGGGTATTCTCTGAGTCTGTGGAGTTTTTAATACTGGAAGGGAGGAGGGCAAAGGAGAGGGAGACAGAAATGGGTGTTAGAGGTGGAGGCAGGTCTCACACCTCTGAAAGGAGGGAAGGGAGCTAGGTCTGAACGCTCTAGAGCCACCACTGCTGCTGTGAGGAGCGCTGGGGCCAGCAGGAATGGCCATTTCTCCTCTCCTCACCGTGGAGTCACAGGATTGAGCGTCCCAGGAGAGTGGTTCAGTGCACACATGGGTGGATCTGGAGGTACAGCTTGTCTCAGAAGTGGGGATGTCAGGGGAATCTCCCTTGGCTGGCCCAGAATGCTGCTCTTCCTTCCCACGAACTACCATGCTCTACCTGCCTAGTGAACTGCCAGTGGCTTTTCTGTTTCTTTATCCTCACACCTAAAATGCGCACAGCTGTGCTGTGTTAATCTGCTCGTCACCACGGGCCACCCAATGGAAGTGAATCAAAGAACTAGCTAGGCACAGCTTGCCCAGGGCCATCTTCCTGGGTTTGAATACCCTTAGGAGAGATCCACTTAAGCAAGCAATGGCACTGAGAGCAGGGAATGGCAGACTGCTTTCAGACATTGGGCCTTGGAGGTGTCTCATGGAGTGACCACTGTGGCCTACACGTGTCTAGTGCTTGTCCAGGCCAGCAGGCAGGCTCAGCATCCAAGCAGGATCTGTGTAGATGAAGGTGTTGCGAGGACTGGGTGTGTTTGGGCTCCAAGCCCTGCCACAAAGCTTCTCTAGTGCAGTGGAGAGACATCCTGGACATCCCTTGGTCTGTGTGAGCTTCACAAACTTGCAAACCATGAACTATCAAGAGAATGGAGTGGAAGTGACTGTCACTGATTCTGGTCTCATCTGTCTGCCCACTCACTGTGGACACTAACATGTATCTCGTGTTTTTTGTTTTGCTTTGTTTTGTTTTTAATCTTACCATCATCATCCACTAGAAAGGAAGGATTTAGGGAGAGATTGCATCTGGACAGTCTATGTGCAGTGCCTCCATATGTATACAAGCAGCCACACTAGATATGTTTTCCTAAGAAAGTAGTCTAGCAACAGTTTTCTCTTAACACCATACACACACACACACACACACACACACACACACACACACACACACACACACACACAAAAAACCAGTAGAGAGAGACAGACTGACTGACAGGCATGTGTGTGCACATGTATGTGCATGTGTAAGATTTGGTGTGTGGATATTGTTTCCAGCCTGGAATGGCAATACATACCTATAATCTCAGCCATTCATGAAGTAGAAGTAGAGTTTATGCTTCAAGACAAGCCCAGTTAAAGTTAATGCTATCTCAAAAACAAGACGAGCCGGGCATTGGTGGCTCACGCCTGTAATCCTAGCTACTCAGGAGGCTGAGATCTGAGGATCGCGGTTCAAAGCCAGCCAGAGCAGGAGAGACCATGAGACTCCTATCTCCAATAAACCACCAGAAAAACCGGAAGTGGCACTGTAGTTCAAGTGGTAGAGTGCTCGCCTTGAGCTGAAGAGCTGAGGGACAGCGCCCAGGCCCAGAGTTCAAGCCACACGACCGACAAAAAAAAAAAAACAAGACGAGCATGTAATCACAACCACTTCGGAAACAGAAGGAGAAGGATTGAGGTTCGCAACTAGATAGACAACAGCATGAAATGCTACCTGGAAAACAAAGCAAAAAGGGCTGTGGGGAATGAGTCAAGTAACGGAGTACTTAAGGTTCCAACTTCAAACCCCAATATTTGGGGCAGGAGGGGTGAAGGAAGGAAAGGGAAAGGAGAAGAGAAGTAAAGAAAGATGGGAGAGAGAAGAGGGAGAAGAGGGAGGGAGAGAGAAAGAGGGGAAGGAAGGGAAGGAAGGAAGGAAAGAAAGAAGGAAGGAAAGAAGGAAGGAAAGAAAGAAGATGGCTGTGGAAAAACATCTTGAGGGGCTGGGAAGGTGGCTCAGTGGTAGAGCGCTTGCCTTGCATGCATGAGGCCCTAGGTTCGATTCCTCAGCACCACATAACCAAAAAGAAAAAAAAGCCGGAAGTGGCGCTGTGGCTCAAGTGGTAGAGCGCTAGCCGTGAGCTGAAGAGCTGAGGGACAGTGCCCAGGCCCAGAGTTCAGGCCCCACGACCGGACCCAAAAAAAACAAAACAAAACAAAAGAAAAACATCTTGAAACACATTGTGCATAGTTTAAAATGTGTATTCTGTGCTGTCATGAAAAATGCTTTTAGATTGCATATTTCCCACTCCTTTTCGTTGCTCTTTCTCAGTGTTAAGTGGGCCGTCCTCCTTTAGGAGAAATGGTGGAGACAGCTAGAAATTGCCTTGGACATGTCTCTCACTGGCCATTTCCAGATGACTGCTCTTCCTAGTCACCTTGTCCCTTGTCTCTTCCAACAAATAAATTATCACTGAAAACACTCTTCTGATAAGGTCCCAAAATAAGGCTCTTACAAGTTTTTTTTTTTTTAT